TGACACACCTGACGGGGCTGGACCAGGGGGGGCAGGAGGGGGGGCGGGAGTCAGGAAGAGAGGGGGAGGAGGTACCGAAATACCTCGACAGGGGTACCGGGTGTAGTAGGGGTCTGACTTGACAAAACGAACGTCGCGGGAGTCAAAGAACCGGTGAAGGGGAGGGTGGTAAAAGGTGAAGTCAGAGGAGTCAACGGGGAAACCAAGGAAGACACACGGAAGGGCGCGAGGGGAGAGCTTATCCGCGGAGGTGTCGCGAACAAGCGCCAAGCAGCCCCAGACACGAAAACGCGACGCAGCACCAGGGGACCCGGTCCAAAGACTGGTCGGTGAAGCCTCTGGCCGAGAGACACGTGGCCAGAGGTTCAGCTGGTGAGCGGTGTACCGAACCGCGTAGGGCCACAGAAAATGGGGCGCACGGGCGTGGATCATGGAGGTGCGTGCAATCTCCATGACCAAGCCTATGCGGCGCTCAGCAACCCCATTCTGCTGTGGGGACTCTGGAAGCGTCCAGGACTGACGGATGCCCTGCTCGCGACAGAATCCAGCGAGAATGCCGGAGCGAAACTCACCCCCACGGTCGGAGTGAAGACAGCTGACACGACGACCACGAGTGTCCGCAGTGGTAAGCAACCACCGGATCAGCGTAGAATTCACCTCAGACTTCTTCGCCAGGGGGAACATTGTGGTGTAACGAGAGTAGTCGTCAACGACCACCAGGAAGAAACTCTCTCGCTCAGGGCCAGGGCGAGGGGCGGGGCCCCAGACGTCCAAGTGGAGAGTCTCGAAGGGCTCGGTGGCCGGACGAAGGGAGGAGGAGTGAGGGGTGGCGCGCAGCCGACCCTCGACGCAGGGACCGCAAGGTGGGGCAAGCGAAGGCGGCAGCGACGGCAAGACTCGCGGGAGGCCTAAGACAAGACGCTGACTAGACATAGCGCGCAGGCGAGGAATGGACGGGTGCCCCATCCGGTGGTGCCACAGAACGGTGGGGTGGGCAAGTGACCGGCAGGAGCAAGACGCAGCAACTGGACCAGACACTGGAACCTGACCAGACACAGCTACCTGGGGAGACGCGGCAACCTGGTGAGACGCGAGAACCTGACGGGGGGCAGTGACAGGGGCCGGGCGCTGCTGCTGCTGCTGCTGCTGCTTCTGCCCGCGGGGGCCAGTGTGAAGTGTGTAGAGACCAGAGCCCGGCTCAGCGGTAAAGGTGGCGAGAGGCGTGTACGTGTCTCCATCAACACAAACCGCAGTCTCGCCAGAAGGCTCAATCCACACACCCACGTGCTGACCCACGAGCGGCCTCACGCCCACCAAGTTCCTCGAGAACGAGGGGACGTGGAAGCCGGTCAGAGAACCTGAGGGAACAGCCGGGCACGGAAGCGTAGTAGTGTAGCGAGCAGTGACTGGTCCCGAAGTGGGATCAGCCAGTGCTACAGAGACCGGTGTAGGAAGCGGGGTAAGGGTCGTACGGTCGCGGAAGAAACAGTGCGAAGCTCCGGAGTTCAGAGTGAATGACAGCGAAGCGTCCTCCGGAGCAGCTCCTGGACTAGTGTTTACACAAGTACCTACACTAGCAACAGGCACCTCAGCAAGACTAGCACCTAAGCTAACAACACTCGAGTAAACAGAGTCAGAAGCACTAGAATCAACAACAGCATACACAGCATGAGGAGTTCCTAAGAGATCAACCAACTGAGAAGCTGACATGCCCCACAAAGCGGGGCCGTACGTCTGAACAAGGGGAAGCCAGTCAGGGGCAGGGCCGTCAACGCCGTAGGCCAACCGAACCGTGTCAGTCAGCTGAGCAAAACACTGACCCGGTGGGTGGCTGCGGCCACAAGGCTGGCCTCGGCGGGCACCTGTCAGAACGTGATAGGTGCAGGGAGGGTGGACGGCACCACGCGCCAGCTGACGCGGTCCTGACCCCTGCCCCGGAGCCTGCTGCTGCCTCTTCTGCTGCTGTGGCTGCTGCGAGGGGAGGGGCTGCTGCTGCTGCTGCTGCCGCTGCTGCCGCTGAGTCAGGTACCAAGCCGCCACTCCTGCACCTGCAGCTGGCGGACCAGTCGGTGCCTGACGTACCCGTGCGTCACCTCCACTAGCTGCAGCAGGGGAGTTACTAGCCGCTGCACGAGGCGCTCCTCCACCCTCTGTACTCCCACCATCGCCGCTCGCCACGCCACCTCCATTCGCAGCTCCACCTCCGCCACCACCACCACCACCGCCGCCCGCACCCTGTCCGCCCCTCCTGCCACTCCGACCCCTAGACCGCGAAGAAGCTGTAGCAGTAGCGGCGGTCACGTCAGTCGTGGCAGTGGCAAGGGAGGCAGTGAAGGTGGGCAGCTGAGGGACCGTGCACCCGTGAAACAGTGGGGGGGGCACAGCACCAGAGGCGGAGGCTATCGAGCGGAGGTTGCTCTCGACGTCCTTGAGAGCAGACTCAAGGACGCCGATAGTGAGCTCGCTAGGGTGCTTCAAAAGAAGCGCGTCACGAACCGAAGCAAGGCGGTCAGGAAGGCTAGTGGCGATGAAATAGATAGTGATTGCCATGGGGGGAGGCAGCAGTGCAAGCTGTGCGTCAGTGCAAGCAGCGCGAAAGCTAGCATAAAGTGAGCGCAGGTGGGCAATCAGATCAGCAGAGCGCTCAAACGAGGCGAGGTCAGGGAACAGGAAGGGGAGAAACAGGCGGCCAAGAGAGACGGTGGAAGGAGTAGCATAGCGGGCCTTAATCGCAGTGAGGAAATCACTAGCCGTGCGAATCTATGCGAAATGGGTCTCCTCGGACTCAGGGAGGAGGCTGCTGAGGGCGATGCAGGCCGCAGCGTCCCGCGATCGCCAGGCAGTCAGGTCAGCACGCTGACGCGCAACACGCTCGCTGTCCTCAGGGGCAGCGTCAAGTCCTAGGGTAGCAGGAGCGGGGGGCGCGGGGAGGTCACCGGATGCGTGCGCCCATAGAGACTCGTTTGCCAACACCTGACTCTCTAGGAGACGCTGCGCATGCTGGAGCCAGACAGAGAACTCAAGGGGCCTACCCCCGGCGTCAAAGCGAAGGACCCTAGGGGTCGCCATAGCGAAAGCAGAAACGGCGGCGTCAAAGCGAAGGACCCTACAAGGCCAGCACGACGAGCTCTAAGGGCAGGCCCGCAACGAGCGCAAAGGGAAGAGGCGGCAAGCGGAAGAACGCAGGCCCACGGCGGGCTCAAAGGGCAGGCACGGCGGGTAGACAGGGCAGGGCCGCGGCAGGCTCTAGGGGCAGGCGCGGCAGGTGGTACGGGCAGGCGCGGCGGGTGTCACGGGGAGAGACGGCGGGCAGCGAGTGCAGGCCCGCGGCGGGCGCAACTGACAGGCGCGGCAGCAGCGAACGGGCGGGCCCGTGGCGGGCCTAACGAGCGGGCGCAGCGGCGGGTTGAACGGGCAGGCGCGGTGGCGTAAAGGCAGGGCCCGCGGCGGCCTAACGAGCAGGCGCAGCGGCGGGCCTAACGGGCAGGCGCGGCGGCGGGCCTAACGGGCAGGCGCGGCGGCGCGAAGGGAGGGCCCGCGGCGGGCCTAACGGGCAGGCGCGGCGGCGCGAAGGCAGGGCCCGCGGCGGGCCTAACGAGCAGGCGCTGCGGCGGGCCTAACGGGCAGGCACGGCGGCGCGAAAGCAGGGCCCGCGGCGGGCCTAACGAGCAGGCGCGGCGGGCGCTAAGGGCAGACGCGCGACGGGACGGGGGACGGGACGGGACGGGCGCGAGAACGGGTCGAACGCGCTGCGGCAAGCAATATTGCAGGCGCGCGGCGGACGGGCGTACGAAAGGGGCGCTACTGCAGCGCTACGAGACAGGACGGAACGGGTGAGGCGCGTGAGGCTCTGGAGGCTCGAGCACGAGGAACGGGACCCTACAGGATCCTAACCTAGGTGATACCATGTTAGAAACTGAATTGTATGTTCATTGATGTGGGTTGGGGTACATATAGCAAACCCTAATATTTGTACCCCCTAAGACAAGCCTCACTACAGGCTACAACATTTGACAGTATCCACGTTGACAAATCATGCCACCCTATTACACAGTAGTCCTGCAGCCTCTGCAGTCATGGATTCCATCAAGTACATCTATCGGCCATTTTCAGGTGCATGCAACTTAGCCTAGGTGTACTGTTCAGGTGCATTCTATCCCGTCGTTTTTTCTACCAGTGCTATTACTGTTTGTGCACATCCGCCACTAAAACCACTGTTCTGTCAGGGGATGCTACCCGCGCAACACGAGCAGCACACGCAACACACGCAACGCACAAAATCGACCTGGCAGGGAAGCCCGAAAATGAAAAATAAAACTCATAGGGTACCTGGACATTGTTCGGGAGGGATCAACCCTAAACACGGGAACCGTCCTGGTGTTTAGGGTTGATGCCCCGTAAGGCAGTGCAGCGGAATATTTAAAAATAATTATTAAACTAGGGAACCTGGACTCATTTTTCGGAAGAGATCAACCCTAAACACGGGAACCGCCCTGGTGTTTAGGGTTGATTCCTCCCGAGTCGCATGCGTTTCCAATTGGGTTTTGTTTTTTTGCCCGTAGTCGCAGTAAGGCTACGACTGGTGTGGTCGCACGACGAGTTTGTGCGAGAGCTGAGTCAGTTGGTGTCAGTCGCGTGGGTTGCATCCCCTGACAGAACAGTGTTGTTAGGGCGGATGTGTACAAACAGTGGCAACAGAGGGAGAAACACGATGGAATAGCATGCACCTGAGTAGCTCTTCCCGACTAAGTTGCATGCACCTGAAAATGGCCGGTACATCTATATCCACAGGTTGCGTATGCAGCCAGACGAGTCCATCCAAGGCATGAGCAAATACATCCAGAGCTATACAATACAAACGTAACAGTATATCGGGTATAGTTTTATTATTCCAGTATTACTTTACACAGGCCGGACCTGACTCAAAGCGGATAAATAAACGGATCATCTCCAACCCAAATGAACCCAACTTCCGGGTATTACCCTAACCGAGCTCTAATTTACACCTCCACAAGATCCTTCACAAGATACTCAACACCAGCATATTCCTTCTCAGCCGGCAGGGGTTTGCCCTGGTACGTCGTGTACTTGCAGTCAGGGGCCAAGACGGACGACGTCTCATAGTCAGTCGGCTCGCCGTCAAGGAATCCCTTGCCGGTGACGCCGTCAGCGGCCACAGGGTGGTGCAGCAGCTGAGCAAGCGCCGAGTAATCCAAAGCGCGCTGTCCGCGTCCGGAACGGTAGGTTTGCCCCATGACACCGTGAATGGTCTCCGTGGGAGTGACACCTTGGAACTGCACGTTCAAGTGGGTCTCCGCGTCCTCGTCCGTCTGCAGCAGCGGGTGGGCGATACGCGCGCGGACGTTGAGCGAGATCCGTCCGTCAACGTTAACGTTGTACTCGTCGACGTCGAACGGGCCGGACTTGGCGTAACCTGTGAAAGTGATCGCGAGACCGCCGGCAAGAGTCTTGGTCTCCCCGACCTGCATCTTGGGAATCACCTGCCCGTCCAGCTCGATGCGATCAATGAAACCGTCCTCGCGCTCCTGGTCCTTACCCTTGCGCGCGACCATGAGCAGCTTGTGCTCCTCGCCGCCGGTCACGGCGCGCCAGATCACAGCGAGCTCGCGGATCCAGGTGCGCACCGCCATGCCATTGACGAGAACCGAAGCGCCGATGGTGCGCTTGTCGTAGTACCCGTGCATCTTCATGTTCACCTGGACGTTCTGCTCCGTCAGCAGACAGAAGGATTTGTCTGGCGAGCCGTTGAACTCGAAACGCGTCCCGTGAGCGCCGAGGAAGTGCGGGTCGTTTTTGGTGAATGGGCAAGCCTTGCCGATACGAGCGCACGTAAGGGTACCGTTGCAAGAGGGAATAGTACCCGAGGGGAAGAGAATGCACTTGCCACACAGGGAATCGGAACAGCTCCCGCTCCTGCGATCAAGTAGAAACGAAAAAAAAAAGTCAGGATTACAGGAGCGAACACTGCAAGCCAAACTAGATGCAGTTGGAAATGGAAGCCATATGAACAGACTAAGCAATTCATAAAACTTACGGGCCAGTAGAGACATGCATCCAGAACGCGCAGCTGAAGGCAGTTCCGAGGGATCCGGCGGTAAGATTGGCGCACTTGTTGCAGCACGTGATGGGCTTAACAGATGCTCCACCGCAGAACGGCTTGTTGGGGCTGGTGGGGTAAGTCTGGGAGCAGTTGACAGTAGGGACGACGTATTTCCCGAAGATACCAGCAGAATTGTTGCACATGCCTTGCGAGCATAGGCCGTAGAGTGGGGGGCAGTCCTTCACGCACTGGGCGGATGATAGGGAGACGCATGCTAAGGCGATGAGAGCCACGAGGAGCAAAGAACCACGCCGGAACTCCATGGCGGCAGCGGTTGGCAAATCAAAGAGCCCTGTGTATACCTAGATTTCCGTGTACCAACTAAGAAATAAAATTGCGCCTTCACAAATGCTAGACACTACGTTCTAGCAGAACAGAAGTTGCACGGCTAAACCCTAGCTGATGGGGTAAGATTCGTCCAGCTTGTGGTGGTTGCCGGGTTGAAAGGTAGGACGGGAGTTTTGACAAGATGAGATGGGTTAGGTGAGAGGTCGTCGTTTGGCGCAGAGAGGACACGGCCCTCGAGAAACGATCTGTGCGGAGACTGTTCAGGGTCTGCGCCTGGCAGACAGACAACACAAAATGACAAATGTGGAACCAAGACACACCTGACCAAGCATCCAAGAAACTGCTGCCGTTATGTACGGAGCAGCTTCGTTTCGCTGTATGTGAACTGCTCCGTCAGGGGAACTGGATGGGAGCGCGTCCTGGACCCTGGTGTTTTGGTTCTGTAGTTTTGGTGTCTTTGTTCCGTTACACGGTTTCCTGCCCTTCAACAAACCTGCATCTCGATTTTCCTGCCCTTGAACTCCAGGCTTGACCTGCCCCAACGACATAGATTGCTGTTCTGGAAACTCCCTGACGATTCCCATGCTCATCGGCAGTGAATGCAGACCCGAGTCGCAGGTTTCCTTGGGCACGAGCAAGAAATGACTGAGCTGAAGGGTTTTTTGACACAGGCAGACACCTGAGGCGATTTGAAAGGAGACTTCGATGGGGTTGCGAGTGACAACAGTACAGTGTGCTGAGTCTCCCTTCTCAAAGCGAAATTCGTTAAAACATAACACGAATATACAGAACCAGAAAATAGCGTATAACATTGTTTGTTGATAGAACCATATTTGCCTAGTTAGGCTCATAATAATAATCAAAATAATTATTAAAACTAAAAACAAAGAAGACAAAAGAAACATTGCTCACATGGTGTCTGTTGGAATAACCAAATGGTTATTAAGACATTCCCGAGTGTATCATCTTAGCGAATCGTTTCATAACGAAAATGCGCATGATCCACTACCGCGCTAGCTCATATAGAGCACGCGCGGATCGATAAGTCAACCGTCGGAAGGTCAACTGCGCCCCAGACTGGAGTCGCAACTGCCCTGGAGGTTACGTGCTGCGACCAGATAACCGTAAAGGGTCGTAATTGTCACTACAAATGTAGCGATGCCTGTAATACGGTTAATAAGGGGATGTACCCCTTAAAGTACATGGCTAGCCAGGACTTTCTAAACTCAATATGATCCTCTGTTTATCATATTGTTATTCACATTCAATATAGCAAGGTCATCTAAGACTTCCGCTGTCCTACTCGTTGACACCTTATCCTGTCCACTAAAAGATCCTTAAGTAATTTCAGCAGTGTAAAAAAGCGAGCAAAAGCATATGTGAACCTTGATTAATTGAAATTTTCGTATTAATGCACAAACTGGTGCTGTCATTAGGCCTGGGATACAATCCGATCATAGGGCCGTCTCAGCCGTATTCGGCGAAACAAGGTTCAGTAAAGACAGCACACAATGGAACGTGCGAGCAAGCAACAATTTGCACATGGCAGAGAGGAACAGGGCCCTCGATATCAGGGTAAAACATCTGATCGTTAGAAACTGAAAATGACTCGAATGAAGCATATAGGGGGGTACAAGTAGCAACACATACCCTTGACATTACAACCCAACGTAGCCTAACAGTGTACACCTACAACTATATAAGTATACATTGACACACCCCCTAGGCTAAGTAAGGGGCAGTGCTTGAGAGCTGAGAAACAAACTCAGGGCGGCACGACTAGTCCAACCTCTGAGGCGACAAGCCACAAAGCCAGTCAGCAAGAACAACACAGTGTATGAGGTACAAATCAGGACGGTACTACTAGCTCAGCGTTTGGAGAAAAAGGCCGCAAGGTCGGTAAATGAATATAATAAGACAAAATTAAAACAAATATAGTATATAGAGATCAAGATCCTAACAAGTAAGGACCTGATAGGACAAGACCAAGCTGTATGCAGAGCCGCTGGTGATCATGAAGATATCAACGGTAGTGGCCCCTGAGGCCAAATGGACTACGTGCGCCAGGCCGTGCTGCAGAAGCTCACGAAGTAGGAAGTACCGCAGCTGGATGTGCTTCGCACTGCCTTTTAGTCTAGGCTCCTGACACTGGAGTGATCAGCGAACAAGACTGGGATAGAACTAGGCGGCTCACCTAAGTCAGTAAGCGAGAACGTCAGCCAGCGGAGCTCCTGAGCAGCCATAGCACCAGCGTAGATTTCTGCCTCACAGCTAGACTGTGCCACCGACGACGAGAGAGTGGACCTCCACACGACAGCTCCAGCGCCATGACTGAACCAGTAGCCCTGAGAGGACCTGGGAGTCTTGATGTCGTTTGCCCACGACGCGTTAGTGTGACCCGTGAGTGCAACTTGCTGTCATCCTCCAAGCACAAGCCTCATGCCTGATGTACAGGCCAGATAGCATAGTACCATCTTAGCATCCGACAGGTACTCAGGTCGGTGTCTCCCAGCCGCAACAAAGCGAGCAAGGATGCTGATCGGACATGCGAGATCTGGGCGAGTGCAAGTCGTCAGGTACATGACGCACCCCACCATCTCGGCGTATTGACCACTGGGATTGTCGCGAGATAAGGAGAAGAAGGAAATATATACATTCTGTATATTTGTACAGTACTGAGAAGAAGCAAGTACCGAGGATTGGGGAAGTGGGGCGGGAATGAGAGGCTGGCGCATGGCAGGATGAACAGGTTGGGCAGAAGGCATTGTGAGGAAGGGAGGCGAAGTGACAGCTGGAAGACGCTGCTTTGTTTCGTATGCGTGTGCATGTTTGTTTTCTTGCAGGTTGTGTGCCCGAGCCAGCTGGAGTTACATCCACGAGCTGGAGTTTTGGCAGTTGGTTGGCTAAGTGCCGGTGGCAAGTGGGAGGGGAGGTTGGCTCTTCGCTACGGTGGGAGGACCATCACCTCCAAGGGAAGCATAAGGTGTAGCAATAGGTGGAGGAGCTCAGGCAGGATATAGGGGGGTACGGGCAATGACTCTGCATTGTTTGTATGTTCTGTGCTAATCTCATGAAAATGCAACACCTCGAGCACTCGTGAGATCTCAGGCCAGTATGAACAACTAAGTGGGGGTTTGACCTAGGAACCATGAGGAGATGTGACTAAGCCAGCGGGGCTCATCGGGACATAGCAGGGAAGAGGAGTGAGGGACGAGCAGACCAGCAGAGAGTAGTGAAGCAGAGAGGAAGAAGTACGAAGGGCACAGAGAGTTGGGACATCCAATTCAAGTGGATGTGAAGACCTGGAAGGGTATTAGAAGGGGAGGAAGGGAGTATGCAAAGAGATGAGAGGGGCACTGGAGGGAGGAAGAGTATAAGGTGAGGGGATTTCCGACAGGATCAACAGGCTCCTCAGGGAAAGGGGCCAAGAGCGTGTGGCATACAGGCAGAGGAGAGGGATGTGTAGGGAAAAACTGAAGGCCGCAACGCTGGCGGACATGCTGCACCATGTGTGGGTGAGTCAGAGTGATGGTGCACGCCGCTCTGTCCCTAGATGGTGGTGCAACTCACCTAGGTCAGTGCAAGTGTGTCTCCTTAGCACCTCGGCGTTCACTGAGGCCAGTGCGTCTCAGTCTGGAGTAGCGAAGACAAGGTCTTTAACATAGACAAGGGCGTAGAAAGGAGCAGAGGTAGAGCGAACAAAGAGAGCCGGGTCAAAAGAATACGGGAAAAGGCGGAGATCAACCAGAGTACTACGCAGTGTATCGAGCCACTCACGAGGAACCTAACGCGCACCGTAGACAAGCCGTAGAAGGATCCAATGGGTCCTTGGAGGAAAGGACCGAGTGAACCTAGGGGGGCGGCGGAGGAAGATCTGCTCGTGCAGGCTGCCCTCGAGAAAGGCAGTAGAGAAGTCAAGCGTGTGAAGCTCGTAGTCGCGCTCTGTCGCGATGTGCAGCAGTACCCGAAGAGTGGCCATCTTCGGGTAAGGGGAAAACGTATGAAATAAGTCTACCCCCTCGCATTGACTGAAGCCTCAAGCCACGTAGCGCTCCTTGAAGGCGCGCCCCAGGAATGGGAATTGCCTCATCGTAGGTGCCTGTACACCTCCAAGATGCCTTCTCTGCGTCCATGGCTGCTATCAACTAAGAGGATCAACGTCCCAACATTGCCTCAGCGTAGGTGCGAGGAGTCGGGATGTCAAGGGCGTTTGGTTCACCCTCAAGGGCTGGCAGCATGGCACAGAGGTGAGGAGCAGCAGCCGCAAGGAAAGTTAGTTCAAACTGCCTGTCCTCTAGAACGTCATTGCCAAGGGCAGGAGCACCCCTGATGTTCGGAGGACGGGCAGGAGCATAGACCAACTTAGTGACATTGCTACGGCGGCAGGTGGAGGCAAAGTCGGCGTCAACAGCAACAAGAGCAGAGACCAACAGAAGAGGATTTGTGGGGTCGGTAACGAGGGAGGAGATGACATGGGAGACCGTAGGATGAGCGACATGGAGAAAGTATGAGAATAGAGGAGAAGAGATAGTAGGGGACGATGGAGGAAGTAACAGGAGAACCGAGGGTGGCGGAACACGAGGGGGACGAAACAGAGGAGCATAGAGTGGATACCAGGAATGGGAGACACCAGCGTGCATGGGAGGGACGACAAACTCAGAGGTGGGAGGCATGAGACTGTTCAGGAGACAGAGGAGGAGACAACATAGAACTCGGAGAAAGACGAGCTGGAGACGAGACCAGGGGAGGAATCGTGGGACTGTCGACTGGGAGAGACGGTGAGGGTGGAATAGGTGGTCGGTAAGTCGAGGGGTAAGAACGACACATGCCCAACCGAGGGAAGGGGGGTGACGTGTGACACACCAGACGGGGGAGGACACAGCGACAAGGGAGGGAGTGGAGGAGTGGGAGATAAAGAGGAAAATGGGGGGGAACCGGGGTATCTCGGTGAGGGAAGCGAGTGTAGAATTTGATA